CCCCCCTGCCGGCAGAGTACATGATGGAGCACAGCCTCTGCTCAGCCTCCCAGGTTGCCGGAGGTTGAAACCTGTCCCTCACCTCACTGGCCATTTGACTGTTAGCTTTTACAGCGACCCTTTGAAGGGGGGCAGGTGAAGCTGATTCCTTAATGCTGCACCAAGCTGGCTTCTTATCTCCGGAGCAGTGCAGCCGGTTCCGAGCTGCCCGGTCCATAAGCGTAACCTTACACACAATACCGCGTTGTTCCATTCGCAGCACCTACGTTTTTGCCCATTTCCTGTTTGCTTGACAGACTACAGTTACAAGTATTTTTTTTTCCAAAGGTGCTAACATGTGTTTGTAAGAAGGAAAAAAAAAAGATTCAGCACATCTGCTGCTCCTCTGCACCTCATATCTCACCTTTCTGCCTTAGAGGTTTTTACAGTGAGGGGGCCAGCATGTGTTTCCATTCAGCAAATGGTGTGATTACTATGTGTGTTGCAGTCCCCATACTCTGATCCACCAAGTTCCTGTGAGAAACGGCCTGCACTTCATCAGAAGATGGCACTGGTTCTTAATCTCCAGAACTGCCTTACCCAGGAATAAGCCACTGGTTAACGGGGGTCTAATGAGCACAGATAGTAGGAAACGTTTTTTCAGCTAAGTATCTGTGGCAGGGGTGGGCAATCTTACCCGCAAAGGGCCGGTGTGTATGCAAGTTTTGGGGTAACCTTTAGGTCAGCTGTTCAAACTCAGCCAATCAGTCCTCTAATTAGTGACCTAATTAGGGAGTTGCAGCGAAAACCTGCATACACACCGGCCCTTTGCGGATAAGATTGCCCACCCCTGATCTATGGGATGGGTGAGAACTGTTAAATGCCATAAAATCAGGTAATGGATTATAGTACAGTCATGTGCCTCATAATGGTGTATGAAGGACCACATGTACCTGATAATGATATTAAACAACTGTTACTTGTTTACATATTGGCTTTCGTCATTATTTTAGCGTGCTCATTCTTCTCATAAAGATGACTGTAAAACAGTATGCTGTGTAGCATGTTGTGTATAAGTACTGCTGGCCGATTTTCTTCATATTAAATGATTGATAATTATTACTATATAATTCAACTCACAATTTCTTTGCTTCAAGGCTCCGTTTTTGCTTAAAATTCCCTTATAATTGCCCCTAAACAGATGCAGAATGTGAAAAAAAGGTGACAAATTGAATGGACTGCAAGCTAAAATCTAATTTTAATTAATAAATCATATGAAAATAATCTTTTGCTGTTGGCTTAACACTAGAAAACGCTGACTGCATTTTGTTGCTGGGTATTTCTGTTTGACTGCCTCCGGGTTTGACTAGGGCTGGGCGATATGCCCTAAAAATGATATTCTAATGCAGTATTCTAAAATTCTTGTGTAGAAAACAGTAAAATATGACAGGTGGTTTTGAGTTTTTCTGATTATGATGATGAACTGTTCTGCGAACAGCTATGTGACATGTATAATAATAAATCACGGCAACAACAGACTCATACCTTGATGGAATTTGTGTAAAAATGGAATGTATCATCCAGCCCTGTGTGTAAGTACACTCTATGGTGTTCGCACAACGACAAAATCGGCTAGCGATGCATCTCCCATGACTGTATTCCATGACTGTAATACATCTGTTTTTGTTTTCCCTCTTTGGTGTCCTTCTGGTTTCCTGCCTTTCCAGGTGGGGTGGGGCATCAGGCATTGCCCAGTCCCCCCCCCAAATCCCCGCTAGGCCCAGGGGTAGGTGCTTTGGTCAGCGTGCTCCGACACTGTGGTACTGTACAGTACAGACAGCATATTCACATCTCCTCTTTTGATGCTGTGAAAGAAGGGTTTCACTTGGCTTTTAAATCAGTTCTTTCAGAGGAGTATCTTCAGACTCCACATAAAAAGCCCTTAATAACTTTCCTCAGCATTCAGGCAGAGATGCTGCATTTTGTACCTTAAATTACCTTTTGAATTGTGGCTGCTGGCGTGACATTTGGTAATTAAACCTCTACCTGGTAATTAACCAAGTGCACATGGTGCTTTGCATATGTATCTGCACACACAGCACAGTGAAGATCAGCCCTTGTTTTCACCAGGTGATCATTGGCACCTTGATAAAAATGTATATAATTTGTAATCACTCCTATTTGTTAGAGAAAACACTGCGAATGTGATTTTAATATGTGACTTTTGTTCATTAGTGCATTCCAGCATTATATAAATGGTAATTGTTTCATTGTATGTTTTAAATGTGTACTTTATCTGTTACAGCTGTCCATATCCCAGCTTGCAGCAACTCCTCGCTACCCCACAATCAGCCACACTGTCGCATCTCCATGGCAACAGCAGCTCCCCTCTCAGCTGCACCCCTCTCCGATGGTGACGGCCTACCAGCTGTCGCATGCCGTAAGAATCCGCACAAACTCATGCCTTCAAGCACACACATAGACATGCATGCGGACAAACACTCAGAGATGCATGCAGGGAAATTACGATACAAAACTTTTTGCTCACATGTTCTGCCTTTTTTTGATTTTGGTTATTTATTGTCAAAAAAGCAGGCTTTAGTTGCCTGATTTCCTTTTCTGACATGTTCCCAGAAACCCTAGGTTACTGCCTAATAATTGAAGTAAACAAGACGTCCTAGTATGTCCTGTGCTTCTTTAGACATATATTTCTGCCTGGTATTCCTCTTTAGTTCAAGATCTGCTACTTTATGTAGATGTGTAAATGTCATCTATATTTTAATGACTTCACAGGCTGTTTCTGGGAACAGGCAGCTGGGTCTTTGTTCTACATGGACGTAATTCCATTTTTTGTTTTGTTACGATGCTTAAAGTACAACTATCTGTAAATTAAAATACATATTATAATCCTTTTCTTGTACAATCTGCAATAAAGGGACAGTAAGTAAACGTATAGGCAATACAGGATTGTGTGTAGTCTGACATCACAGTCCTGGGCCTAAGCGACATTGCATGTAGGTCATGGACGAGTGAGGTAAGCAGCCCCTCACTGGCCCATAACGCTGTGCTGTGCCTCCCAGTATCCAGACCAGCTCGACATACCACACATCAGGATGGCTGCGAGGCAGGATGCCTGTTAATGGCTGACATCTACATTCTATCCACTCACCATCACACTCATGAACACTTACCCAGTTACCTAACTTATTAACTTCTGTATATAATGGTTATTACTGCATATATCTCTGCACATAATTTATTATCCAGTAAATTCACTATCCTGTATATTTTTTAATACTCCAGTAAGTGTATATGGGTTCTAGTAACTTGTATACTTATAATTTATTGTCTAATTTCTCTGCCAAAGAATATAGCTAGTACAGTCAAATTCCTTGTGTGCATGAGCATACTTAGCCAATAAACTTAATTTAATTCACGTTACTTTTATATACCGCCTTTCACAACAGAGTCAGCCAAGGCGCTTTACATGTGTGTGTTGTGATACAGTACAGCATCATTAAGACAGAATCATTATCTCGTGACTGCTAAGCTGCACCTCTGGCCTGCAGGAGCTGCCCTGTGCCAGCAGTATCGCGCACCTGGAGGTGAGTTTCAGCCACGCGTCGGCGGAACCGGCCGTGGCCGACGAGGAGCCACTGCGGGAGGTCACCTTCACGCCAGTGCACGCGCCCGTCATCACCCTGGGTACCCAGACGCCTGGGTGAGTGATATCTGCCAATCAGTGGGCATAGAAACGGATGAAGGCCTGGACTGTCCCATCATGCTTTTCAGCCCTCAGTACTGTGTTAATGTAAACAGTACTGGCATTATATTAAACATGTTCTTCTTTGTTTCCCTAATACCTGTTTCTCACAGAGCTTCAGTTAGTGATGACCAAGTGAAACCTTATGAACCATTTGCTGTATTTTCTGATCCCACTAGGTGGTGCTCTTGGTTTGCTTTTGGAATACTTTTTTTTTTTTTTTTTTTTTAACAGAGAGCACCATCTGTTGGCTTCAGATAATACCGCAAATGGTTCATGAGGCTGCATGTGGCCATCACTAGCTTTAGTATTCTTCCTCTGTCAGAGTGACACTCTGGCCTGCGAGGACGTCACTACCGTTTTTTGCATGCTGTGTTAATTCTGAATATATAAACAGGGGATGATTTAAGGAAGGCTGCCTGTAACATGAATATTATCAATACGGCTAACTGAGTTTTGTGAAAGTAATTGTAAATTGGTTGAACGATAATTTATGACCATCTTCCGTACAAGTGTAGATATTTTGTTGTAATTCTTATTAACTAGACAGGAGTGTCTGTGATTCTCATATGAAATGATTTGGTTTGAAAATTGTAGTAGATGTTTGCAGGAAAATGACCTACTTTTGAAAATTAGACTCCATGGATCACACTGGTAATTATACTGTTTATCAGATTAAACCCAGGCCTGTGGAAATTGAAGCTTCAGTTTTAATATTACCCAAATACATATGAATTGTGTTGACGTCTGAGAGCAGTATACCTGCAGATTTAGCCAATATTAATACAGTAGTTCTTATATTAATATTTCCTTTGGGTTTTTAAGTTTCTTTGTGAATCAAGCTGGTCTTTTCTCATGTATTTTTTTTTACCATGATTTCAAATAACAGCAATCACCAATTGTGGACAGTTTTTACTATTACTTAGGGATAATACTGAGTTTTTTATTTCTATGTTACTGATCTTGGTGTTTGATAAGCTTTGTAATGGGTCGGTGATGAGTTTTTGCTTGTACAGTACACTTAGAAGATAAGATATTGCCCTTAGAAAGCAGAGCAGAAGATTCTGTTAGTGAAAACAACTTTGGGGCATAAGGCAGTGTCAAGAACCCTTGTTATGCAGTAGCTCATGGGCAGAAGGTTGTGAGCTCCCTGTCTAATGAGGACCAAGGTCACCTCAAGCAGGTCCAGTTCATAGTGCATGTAAACAGCCCCGCTCATTAGAAACAACTGACCTCTGTAATGGAGAAAGTTACCAACAGACAGGTGAAGCAGTGTGTTGTCTGTAGCATGTAGAGGTCAACAAACCAAACATGCTGGAATCTAACTCTGATTTATCTGAATGCTTCAGATCATGGTCCAAGATAAAAAGGTCCCCCATCATGAAAGAAAACAACTAGTACACCTAATATCACAACATTGTAGTACCACATTGTAGTAACTGTCCATTTGAGGTATATTAGTCACTGTCCATTTGAGATATATTAGTCACTGTCCATTTAAGGTATATTAGTCACTGTCCATTTGGAAGGAGCTTATTAAACTTGAAGTCTTTAATGTATTTATCGATGTTTTTAATTGAAGAAGGAATTACGTTACACCAGTGGTCGGCAACGTGTTGCCAGGATACCACAGTAGTTCATAAGGAGTCAGTGAGTAGCTCGCATAATACTAACACCTGTCCACGTTTGCCATCACCATCCGTTCCCCCAGTCAAAAACTGTGGCCATCGCTACACAGACCCCCCCCCCCCCCCCATTGTCAAACATTTCTACCATTGCTACCCTCCCTGCCAATTGATTTAACCTTTTATGAAACACGTAGCTCCCTAGATTTTTTCTGTTACTCAGGATATCAGTATGAAATTCAAGGTGCACCTAAGGTCAAGTTCAAAGTGTTTCTTGCATCCCTGCAGTCAGTCCAGACTCTCAAAAGTTATTTGTCCATACAATATGTGGAAAGTAACCTCACTCCTAATTTGTTAGGCAGGAGTAATCCATCACTGAACGGAGCTCTCACTCCATATTTGGAAGATAACTGCCTTCCATATTTTGAAGGTGACTTCAAACCTTATATAGATAGAATGGGTCCGTATTTGGAAGCCAAAGACAATCCTTTGTTTGAAGCTGACCTCTTGCCTTTTTGGTAGGTGACCTCACAATCTCTGGTACATTTCCCAGCTCCTCCTCATCGATGTCGCGGAGCTCCATAGCGCATCTTTACTCGGCTGGCTTCCCAGAGATCCTGGACTGCAGGGGGCAGGTGGCCGATGTCCTGGATCCGGGTGAACCCATCAACTTCAACCCCCAGAAAGAGGAAGCTGACCCCCTGCAGTGTAACAAACTTGTCCTGCAGTTTCTGGCCTTCTCCAGGTGACTTAGTCCTGTCCGCACTCGTGTGTCCCATCTACTTACCCATCAGCATTTACCAGTGGAAGATGCAGTTGTCTAGTCCATGATGCATACTGGGTGGTTTCCTTCCCATTGGAGTGTTCTACCAGCACATGGTGGGCTGTGGGTTCAGATGCCTGGCAAACCTCTCTGGTGCACCCTTAACGAAGAGTCTAGTTGGCCATTCTATAAACCACCCTCCTGTATATAATTGATGTGTAATTTGGATAAATGTATCTGGAATGCAACACATGGTAGTCATGCTGAAAAATATACAGAATCAGTACATATATCTCTGCTGTCTTGTCTCAGCGATGTCTAACAAGTGAAGAACTAACATCGTCATTAGCCAGGTCTCAGTAGAATTTTTGCAGACATAAGGTCCAATGTTTCTGCTCTAATTGTTAAGCAGCGCTCCCAACGTCTTGTTTCTGAGAGTTAGATGGGGGAGGGTGAATCTTTAGCTACCTTAAGCAATTAGCATGCATGTTGCGGTTCTCATTACCTGATAAACAAGACAAAAGCCCACACGAGGCTGATTCTCATTGTACGTGTGCTTTAGTTATGGTGTAATTCCTGTTTCTCTCCCAGGCTCTGTAATTATCACTCTTGTCTGTTTACTGACTGAATATTAAGGGAAATCTTTAATTGAGGGCTATCACCGCTTAGTCTGAAAGCTGCCCCTAGATTATTTGGCTGGTGGGATGATTACGTGAGTTTTATTTGCGCAACAAACAGTCGTCATTGTTTTTAAACAATTTTGCCAGTTTATTTAGTGCTGAATGATTGATTGCTAATCTTCTAACTGGAGACGGAAAACTAATTATTTTTGCTTTAACTCAATATTTTTTTTTCCAATTAATCAGGACTATAGTGGCCAGCTGCCTGCCTCGGGACGGGATGTGGTTTGGGCATAATTTATCTTCCCTTTAATTTTGTGTAGTGCTTCCCGTATAATTATCCGACACCAACAATATGAAAGTAAATAGAATGTCTAATAATGGACAGTTGATGAGCACTGCCTGCAGTGTTTTATTGTTCAGTGCTTCAGACACACAGGTTCTCGTCCTACGATCCGGCAGTCCTGCTAAATACCTACGTGTCTAATTGTAAAGTGCAATGAAATGATATCTAGAGACCTTTGTTGCAGGTGCTTTAATTCAAAATTGACATTTAGGACTGGAAATTACTGTACTGCAATGGATCCAATTATTTAAGAAGTGGAAGTTTGGCAAAATGAAAATTGTGATGGAAACAGAGAAAAAATGTTAACTTAAGAAAAATCCTTTTTGCGGTTCATTTGTCATACAGATAAATGTAGCGTGCTCTCTGTCTTAGAACCATCACGTTCTATTCAGCTAGATGCACAGGCTGGGTTCTTGGTTTCTGCTTCACTTTTGAATGAATTGTTTTTTTATTGATGATTTTTGAATCGGCTGCTGCATGTTGATTGGATACTGGCAGCTCAATGCAGTTGTTAATGTGGTTGTTAGAGATATGACTGTACATGCCTTACTGGAAATTGCATAAGGAATCTGTGATTCCTGGGGAACGCAGATACATGAGACTTGTGGAGTGACTGTATGGTATAACTACACAGTCTTTGTGATACAGTATACTGCCTAAGATTTATCATTTTTACTTATTTTGGAAACTTACAGTTAAAATGTATAGTTTTTCTATCTTAAAACCAGTTAAAATGATGTCTGGGCTAGTTTTTATCAACTGATAAAAGCAATATTACAGATTTATATCGTTAATTATTTTGAGGCCCCTTGTAAAATATATCATGCTTGAAATAGGTTTTCATGCTTTTCATGAAATGCAGTCATTGAGGCCTGTTGTTTAAATGTAGTTTGTCGCCAAAGCCTGCTGTCCCCTCTGTTGTCGCCCTCTTTTAGAGTACCACAGGACAACATGGGTGCGGACTGGCCAAAGTCTGTGTACTTCACCTTCCAGGTCTATCGCTTTCCTCCTGTCAAAACGCAGAGGCTGCTGCTCCTTTGCACAGAGAAGACCCAGCTGGACACTGCTGACAGATATCCCTGTATTCTGACGGTAGCCAAGAGCAACAGCAGCACTGAATCTGGTAATAGCAGCTCAGCTTACTTTGCTATTCAGTTGTTTTTTTTATTATTTGAATTGCTCACATCTTGCTGGAGAACGAAGCTGTTAAATGTTTTAAAGATGTTTAATCTCGGATATATATGTGCTCTTTACCCCACACCATCATGTTTGAAGTGGTTTCATACAGAAATCGCTTCAGAGAAAGATACAAGATACAGCAGACCTTCATTTAGGAACCGCACTGCTTCATGCATAAGTTAAATGGGTTTATACAGAAAACGTCCATGCAGCCGTCACATGGGTTCGTAGCGAAAGCTCTCATGCGGCTGTCAGACAAACTTTTTAGTTCTGCCTCTAACAGTTGACGCCGGTTGGTCAGTAACACTTTACCCACTCCCTTCTCTATCTGCTTGCCCGGACTTTCTGTTTACCTTTTGTATCTGGAGCCCCCTGAAGGTTGGCCCCTAATTAGGGGAACCTGGGTGTGATTCAACCCACCTCCGCGCTGCTAGTTTACCCTGGACTTTTCGAGCCCCACCTGAAAGCAGAATGCTCTCTGTCGCCTCGCGCCTGTCATCTCACAGCACCCCTACGACTGCTTCGGAGCGGCGCTGTGGTCACGTCTTTGGCTGGAAGCTTCCGTAGACAAGGTGGACATGGGCCCTTAATTAGCTGTGTTAGTGCAACTGGAACAAAATGTTGAGTCCTGTGTGTTCCCAGGACTAGAACTGACAAACACTGCCCTGTGTATGTGTCACTGTCAGCAGTGGGATATATTTTCGAATGCAACTTCCTCCAAGCTAGACACATGGTAGGGGCATGGAGATCTCCCATCAGGCCTCAGCAATACATTTTCCCACATTTTTGTTTTAGTGTAACTTGTTTTCTGGGTCATTATTGTCCCAGAACGTTGATACCGCATAGGTATTAACAGCTGCCTCCTTTCCAGGTGATAAATTGAACTAAGCCTCTCATTGTATATGTGCCTTTTATAGTAAGGTACTGTAGTACTGCCAACGCATACATATACTTAGATGAGAAAATTGTAATGAAGCTGCACAATGCAGTGTAAGTACTTAGTTATCTGTATGGAGTTAGTTTGTCAGGACATTGCTTTCCCCAGTAGACCAGGGGATTGAGGACAGGGGATGGGGTGGCCTTGAAGCAATGTGGGTTTTATTGTGCTGGTGTTCCTGTAAAATTGAGAAGGTTACGGCAGGATGTAGTCCAAAAAGGAAAAGGTGATACTTGTGGAGGCAGATCTTCTGGGAAGACTAGAAGGTCGTTCGCATTATGGTGGGAGAGATCCGCAGACTCAGCTGAGAGAGAGAGAGAGAGAGAGAGAGAGCGGCAAACCAACAAGGGTGCTGGGAGCCGCCTGAGAGAGAGGGACAGACATCGTTAGGTCATCTGCCCTCGCCGGACCGACTCCTTGAACGTGGAATGGGGTTGACGAGGGATGAGCCGCATACGCTGGTTCCCATGACAGCGTAAGCTCCTCCTCTTTGCATAAGCCAACTTGGAAACAGAACGGACCAGCCTGATGTTTCTAAACACCTTAGAGTATATTTCTCATCTGTTAAATGTCTCAGGGGTGTGAAGGTCAGTTGTAAAAGCAAATTACCTGTATTCATAACATATCTCATTATAGATAATTGGTCACAGATATAGACTAAGAAAAAGACATTCCTGCAAACATCTGTCAAACAGCTGACTGGCAAAATATGATTAGCATTTCCACTGATAGGTTGTGTAGAGGTCATTGGCCTGAGGAATCTGTCCATGTTGAGGAGTCGTACGGCTCATACGTGCAGGACACTGGTGCGAGGAGCAGATGTCTGTGCTGGACCGTGAAATAGCTTACACCTTTCACCAGTGATGTGAGGAATCGACGTCTTCGGCGAAATGCTAAATGGCTGGTTTCCATCCCACAAGCAGGACCCCCGGGGCTGGAACTGACGTTCCTGGCAGACCCCGCGTTCCTGAAGCCGGGAGAGCGGCCTTGGTTCCTGCAGTACCTCGCCCTCCACACGCTACAGATCGACGTGTGGGACGCTGACTCGCTGATGCTCGTCGGCTCCGCAGCCGTGGAGCTCAAGGTTCAGTTTCCTGTCACACCAACTGCTTTCATTTTTTTTCCCATCGATTACATACTTGAGCACATGTGCTGCTGGGATGATGCCCATAGTTCAGGGTCAGATCAGTCAGCTATTTTTTTAACAGTTAGCAATACAGAATCAGAATCGGAAAACTTTATTGATCCGGGTGGAAATTGCTTATTTTACAACTGCTCAGAAGACAGGAAAAGACAGGAAAAGGTGCAAAATTACACTCTCTCTCTTTCTCTCTCTTTCCTTTGAATCAATTTGTTTCAATTAAAAGTCAGATTTTTCTCATTTTTTCAGTGCAAGATGAAGGTACTTCAGCAAACAGTTGATTTTTTTCTACCCCCCTTACTAAAGGGATGCCAATAATAGTGGAGGCATTGTGTGTGTGTGTGTGTGTGTGTGTGTGTAGAGAAAGAGAGTTGTGTAAAATGGATTTAAATTAAATACTGTAAGGCAAGTGAAGATGAGTCGGGCTGAGAATACAGGACATATTTGAAGTGATTTATTCAGGTATATGCAGTTAAATTTAAAATGCAAAAATATATTAAGAACATATTAATATAATTATCTAGCTAAAAATGATTTTATAACAGTTTGAGACTTCAAATGCGTGTCTTGTGACATGTGACTTGGCTGAGTCTTCCTCCCTGGCTTCCTCTAGCACTTGCTCCGGCAGGGACGGCCTGCGGTACAGGTGATGCAGGAGCTGGAAGTGATCACCACAGAGTACCTCCAGGAGGCGCTGATGGTCAGCGGGCAAAGGTCCATGACGCCCATCAATGTCTTCACGGTGGTCAGGGGGAAGCTTCTTCTGCGCATGGCCAATGTTGGTGAGTTTAGGAGCATCCCACAAGAGAAGCCAAGCGTGTTCAAGCATGCAGAGTCATCAGGCTTACCGTGAAACCCATTTATGGTGGATTAAAAAATACAAAAATCTGAAGGTCCATCTAGTCAATGATTGTTTTTCAGTCAGGAGAACATGATGGGTGGGTAAGTGTTTTGGGAAAACCAATCTGGAGTCAGTTTTCTGTTACAAAAAGCACCCTTTATATTACAGATCTTGCTATTTGTTTTCTTTCAAGATTAATGACTTGCCCGTTTGCTTGTTTTAACTAAGAAATACAGTCAGGTAGCTTCAGTGGGGAAAGTGCTTGTGCTGAGATATTCGTTTGTAAAATAGTGCCTCTCTCAATTGTGCTGAGAAGGTTTTCTCCATAAAGATTGTGTAGCTGTTGCCAAGTAATCTCCCTTTATAGTCCAAAACCATCTAGCGGTTTGTCATTGATACGTAGTTTCTACAGGGTTATTTAAAAAAAAAACGAGGCTTTCAGAATTGTTAATTCATGCATCTTCCATAATTGGTTATCCAGTACAAGATTGTGGTAAAATGTATTAATATTATTCTAAGTTAAATGACTAAAATGCATTATAGTAGTGGTGACATACCACCTTATCCAGTGACCTTGCTCTCTGTAGCTCTCTGTGTAGCTGGTTAATCATGTTCATTGCCATAATGACTCAGAGGGCATGACACAGGGATGTCACATGACTGAGCGAAAACGGCCAGTGAGGGGGATGTATTCATGGCCAGTGAGGGGGGGGTGTCTTCATGGCCAGTGAGGGGGGTGTGGGGGGGTGTCATCATGTCCAGTGAGAGGGGCGTCTTCATGGTCATTGAGGGGGGTGGGGGGGGGTGTCTTCATGGCCAGTAAGGGTGATGCGTTCCTGTTACACCTCCGTTGGCACCAGTGGGTATTTTCTATAAAAGTCAACTTTGAAATTTTGAAAGGCATTAAAAAAAGACAGACTCACCGTCCCATTAACCTGAAAGGTACATATGCGAGTAAGAATATGGTCTCTAATAACAGTGTTTCTCCAGCACTAACAACAGCATCCAATTGTGCAAAGCTTGCAAATGCAAAGGCCCCGGTGGCTAACGGTGATTTTCAGTCGCTAAAGTGTGAGACGTACTTCATATGAATACTGCTGGAGTCTGCCGTGTTTGCAAAAGGCTTCATTGCAACCCTTCATTGAACAGATGACTTGCTTGTCCCATTACAGTACAGCTTCACAGGCTTGATCGAGTTTGTCTTCCTTCAATAGTACCTGATTCATCACAGAGCTTGTGCCACAGCAGTACAAAAAAAAAAGTAGCATTCATATCTCTATCACTTTACAACTGCAATTCATAATCTTAAGGATCTAAAAGGCCATTAAATGCAACATCCATGGCATTTTCATAACAGCTATAACCCAAACATGGTCGAGTGTAGAGCTCTAAGGCATTAGGCAAAGCATTTTGTGAATGTGGTTCTGGATGTTATTTAATGCATACATCATACATTTGCACATCATAACATAGCAGTCAGATACTGCTATTTCCCAGTTCGTAAGATATGGATTTTTTTTGTTAGGTAATGTCAGTGTATTTTTTGTAATTTCTCTTGAAGTGGTTCTCAGAATCTGAGATAAATGTGCTTTAAAATTAGTGAAGTGTTCAGATTAATTGAATTTCTTTAATTAGAAACACATAGGGATCCAAATTTAAAAAAGGTTAGTATTTTGGTACAAAATGTGCTATGTTTGGAGATTAATGCTTGTAAATCAAAAGCATTGTTTTGGTTTGAATATTTTGTATTTTCATTGAAAGCCTATTTCTAAAATCAGTTACTATTTTAATGACTCAACTGCGGTAACCTTCAGAAATACTAGTAACTAAAATTCTTGTGCTCTATTTTTTTTCTGGGGTTCATTTTTCCAGGAAGCCAATCCATGTGTTATTAAGCCACATCAAAATGTAGAAATATTTGATGAGGTGTTCGGACCAGTTGCTTGTGGGTTAAATTTGTTTTCTACGAGTGCTCATGGGCTTCTTTTATGATCCAACGATTGTTAAAGTTAATTGGTAGACATTAAATTGCTTTTGAGTGTCCTGCAATGGACCAGCGTGGCCCACTTTACAGTATTATGTTTTTGAGTCACTCCGAGATCGAACCACCTATTTGTGTGGTGGACAGTGAGTGAGCACAGATATTTATTGTCACTTCGTTTCAGAAAACCAGTCTACAGTTTATCTTCATTTGGGCTTTCATGTAACCTGCTGGGTGTAACCTGTGGACGCAAAGTTTAGTCCTCTACCATGGCTCTGCGTGTTTTGAGGTTGCATGTTCTCCCCGTGTCATCATGGGGTTTCCTCTGGTTTCCCCCCACAGTCCAAAAACACGCTAAGCGGTGTGAATGTGTCTGAACATGTGTTCTGTAATGATTGGTGCCCCACTCTAGGTTATTAATTTCCTTGCACCTACAATTTTCAGGATTGGCATTGAATGCTCGTGACCCCATATAGGACAAGTGTGTATAGAAAATGAATGGTTGGAAATACAGGCATTTAAAAAACGCACAATCTTTTGAGTGACAGCAGAGATTTAGATGTACAGACCTTCTCTCATAATTCTTTGAGCTAAATCTCCGAGGGAGACTTATGATGCTGTCAGGGATGCGCAGCCACCTCTCATGACCAGGAGGGTGAACTCCTGTCCAGATTAGCATTTATGTTAGTGTTCCCCAGGGTCACCTATTCCTGCCCATTTCTGTCAGTCAAGATCAAAAGGCCATTGCTTGAAATGGTATGGAATTGCTTGGAGGTGGCACTAATTCATTCAGACTGCAGGAGGTTAGCGCCATTAGCCACTGACTGAACGTGGAGGGTGGTGCACAGTGGATTATAAAGAAAATACACAAAGTAGCATCCCGGCTGGCAAGCACACACTTAAACACTCTAAGGTGACATTTCATAGCAGGATTCGCAACCAAAAGATTGCAGGTTTTCCCCTTTAGAAAATGAAATCGGTAATTCTGCTCTTTCATCCCTGAGAAGAGTCCTTAACCCAAGCCGCTCCCGTTGTGATGTAATAAGCAGTTGTGTAAATGGGTTAGATTTGAAGGCACTACAGATTAAAGTGCAGTTTAAGCAATGAAACAATAATAACAATGGCCAGGAATGATAATATCAAAATGACTTTGGTGAATAAGAATCTAAGCCTCTTTGGTCGAAAGCATCGGTTAAGCAATTAAATCAATTAATCAAATGATTACACTGAAACAGGGAACTCAGTGAGGCCACAGAATTGACAGAATCCATATGCTGTTCAGACTCTAAATGAATGATAAAACTTTGCACCGAAGATACTGTGTTATTTAATTCCATTATGATGACAATATCTTGATTGTTGTTCCAAAGAATTTTAGTGGAATGTAATAACAGAACTTGTTCAAGTCAGAACATTTTAACATGCATGAATCTGCAAGATGCATCTTTTCATGAAGTGAAATTGTTTTAGTTCTTTGTCGTTTGTTAATTTACTTTGTATCACCTCAGTCTACAGTCTAGACTAGCTATAAATGCACACCACTGATTTGGGTGGTGAAAAATACTCACCTGTGGTCGATAAGGTTACCTGAGCCATCACCTTTAGAGATGTTCTCCTGCATGAGAGGAAGGCATCAGGCCATGTGGGAAGAATAAAGATTAGGCTATTATATGTTTATTCCTCGTGATTTCCTTGCAGTCTCCATCTGCAGGACCTCGATAAGCACAGTAAGAGTAGCTACACACTCACATGGGAAAAATATGGAAAATGTTATGCAGTTGGCGAATAACAGCAGGAGAAATTATCTTTGTCGAGTGTATCAATGGGAAAGCGGTACCCCAATAAAACGAGTAATATACCCTAGCTTTTTAATGTTACATTTCTTTTGTTTCCTAAAATGGTTAGATTTCCTGCAGATTAAAGCAGAATGGGAGAAAAATATAAAAAAAAGTGAAGAAAAATGACCCCATCTCACAAGTGGTGAAGCCCGCTGATGTGATTTTGTGTGGGTGAGCTTGTGAGTGTGAAAAAACCAACTTCAGAAGTGAAATGATTTGCTTCCGGTTTTGCTTGCTCTTGGGTATGTCACTGGGCTGGTGGAGCTCAGGGTCTTTCTGATGTCCTGCATGTGGGACAAACGTAAATCCCACGTAGCTGAAGGTCCCAGTGCCTGAGTGTCAACCTGCAGTCTGCATGGATATTGTGTTATCAATGCAATGCCTACATTTTGTGTTGCATTTCAGTGTCTCTTTAAGCAAAATATAACAGTGTAAGTGGTTATACAGCCCATTCCTGCTTTTAGTGCTGAGAATATCTGATGGCCTGCTTCAAAAATCAGCATGGCCAACAAACCTCACTTATTGTGTTTTAGATATGATTTGTATTTTGATTCAGAGCATCAGTGAGGTCTGTCTCTTATTCTATCCTCTGATTTTGGTGGTAATTGTTTTGTAAGTGCGTTTCTGGTGTTAACGAGCTATGTGATTGAATGACCCTGCATGAGTGCTCTGCTTACCAATGAGAGCCTCACAGGCAAAGCATACCAGTGAGTGGTTGTCTAAGAAAGTGCTCACTCAAACATCTCTCTTATGTTGTTTTCTCACTTCTCTCATCTTCTGATATCTGCTGTAGGTGCAATGCCTTGTGTACGTATTTTTGGCTGCAGACTTTGGCAGCCATTGTATATAAATGTTAGCATCTCCATACTGTAGTTTGCTTAACCCCACATTCTTGCAGCTGAGATCTTTGCTGGATTAAGGCTGGTGGCCATGTCAGGTTTCTGATTACTGATTCATGTTGTAGCTCCTTGTTTAATTATTTTGGCAGCATTTTCAAACACTGCTTGGAAATGGGGGTGGGCAGGGCAGCTAAGATGAGCACCGCATCTGTCTCTCTTGGTTCTCTGCTTATATGAATCACTTCCTGTTGGCCTGAGGGAGCCGTGTCACTCATAAAGCCTGCAAACATGTGACTTTTAAGGAGTGGCAGCTGCTGTCTGATGGAACCATTTGGAAACGTAATGATCTCTGAAGCCATTCAGAACCACATTAAAGTGCTGCATAGCTCTCGCCTCCTGTAGTGTACAGGACAATAGCATCTGTGCACATCATTGTCCCTAAGATATATCATCATTGGCCAACAAACATTTCATTCCCATGAAATGTGTGTTAAGTATATGTCATTTGTTCTCCTTTATATTCCCAAATTCTTGTCATTTTCCCCCAAGATCTTTTTCTAAAAGTCTTTTCAAAAATCTTTTTCTTTAGGTCCACTTTTTTTGCATCAGTTAGGCAGTTTTGGCAAACAGCTGCCGTGTAGATTGATTTAATTTCAAAAGCTATGGGTATTCAGCTGTTGCAGAGACTGGGCGTGTCCTAGCATCATAGAACCATATAAATGTAACTTCTGATTGGTCACCTTAATGGAGTCCCTGCCACAATCAATTAAGTGATGCTTATTGTCAGATATGTAGTGCTAGCAACACACGTTGCTTTACATGGATATATTTCGTTTTGATCTGTATCCAGATTGAGCCAATGGATTACACTGCCTCCACTGCCTCTGTTCTGTAGATCCTTTCGTTTGTCCATCTTCCATACCACCTTTTCAGTACAGGGTCAGGGTGAGGCTGGATCCCGTCCCAGGAATCGTAGGGCATGAGGCCAGGAATTGTGAGATGAGCTGCCAGTCCACTGCAGGGCACACACTAAATCATACACTTTAGGCAATTTAGAGAGAACACTTCACCTAACTGCATGTTTTTAGGCTGTGGGAGGAGTACTTGGAGGAAACTGAGGAATAGATCGGCACACTGGCTGTATTTAGGACTCAGCTCAGACTCTCGAGCGTCCCGGCTAGAGGGTTTCATTCCTGTCCCCAGCTCTGGCTGTGTGGATTTTCTGTGTTTTCACCATGTTTGTCTGGGTTTCCTCGCACACTCCAGAAAATGTGTGATTAGGTATATTGGCATCTCTGGATTGCCCTTCATTGTGTGACTGCTTCCCATGCAATGGATTGGTGCCCCACAGTGCGTGTCCCCGCTCTGTGCCAATGCGGGCAGGCCCTGGGCTCACTGTGTCGCTGTCCTGAGCAAAAGATTATTGATAATGGATGAATGCATTGTTATCATGGTTGCCACGATCATGTAATATATGTTGACATCTCCATAGTTTACTCAATCCTGCACTGCTGCAGCTGGGATCTTCATTATAGCTGGTGGCAGGTTTCGCATTATCAATTTACATTGTAGCTTCTCTTGTAATTATATTGCCATTCTTTTGGAAACTTTTTATCAAAAAATAAAATATTTTTGATTTGAAATTATTTTGATGTGGCTTTCCTGTATAGAAATCATGTTATGGGAACTAAATGCATGTAAGCTGATCACTTTTAAGTTTTTATGTATAATTTGTACTGTATTTTAATGGCAGACCTTCCCTCCTGTCTCTGGTAGGGCTCCCTTTTGATCCGAGCGTGAAATGGCCCGTGACCCTGCCTCCCTCCCACTCGCGCGTCGTCCAGCCCCATGACGGCACCCGTGGATTTGGTGGCGGTAGCCTCTGTTCCAACAGCGTTCTGGGGCATCATGGTGAGAGACTCCACCAAACACAGCCATGGCGCCAATCTAAGGACCTGCGTCTTATTTAGTCTTTCATTGGCGCAATACTGACTGACACTCATTTAATCTGAAAATTTGGGGTCAGTTATAAAAATATATGATGCATTGAAAATTTTCAATCACGTGACTAAGACAATAAAACCATTTCTGAGTGAACAATAGTATATGTGCTGTGTGATAAAATGTAAAAATGTTTATCCTCCTTGATTTTCATTCTTCACAGGATAATGCCTGTCATGTCTGATGAGTGACACCACTTGTCGGTAGTTTATTGATTTGTCTGTGGCCGCTGCACCATCAGAGCAGTGTAATTATCCTCCAAAGGACACGTCCTGCACCCGTTCAATAGGCTGCTTCTGCCTTTGAAGGCCTAATGACTGGAAGGAGCTCTGACTGTTTCATCAGACTCTCATGTCTGCCTTATGTTTATAACACCACTTAAATTCTTCCTTTGAATACAGGCCTGTTTCAGTCATAGACTTAGGACTTTATTCCTGCACATTTTTAAACCAGATCAATACAGCCGCATGTCACATTTTTTCATATTGATTTATTTTAAAGATTCTCTTATCCAAGCCGAATAAAAGAGAGCTTAAAACTTTGCTTTAAATTGGAAAAAGTAGCAAAACAAGAATGATCTGTCCGCTGCCAATGTCACTGTGAAAACAGAAACTCCCTCCTTCCCCTCATTTCTCCTCTGTGAAGATAAGAATGCTGTAAAAACCTGCAATTTCTGTTTTTTCTTCTCAAAGTACCAGTATAAGGAAGTTGGCAGCCTTGTCTAAGGGATGCTGCCTTTTGCTATATTAACCTAACTGTCGCTAAAGTAGGAAAAAAAAAAACCACCCTAAAAGTAGAAACAGTAGAAAAATCGAAACTCTGAACGTCACCCGTAGAGCATGTACATAATACACTCAATCAGCATAACCTTAGAATAACCTTTGCCGTATTCAGAAGCTCTTCAGCTCTTGTCCCATAAGCAGTTCTTGACCAGATAGTAATACGGTTATCCTAGTTCTGCAGTCTGTCTGTTGGCAACTCGTTGCATTTCTCAGAGACTAGGGATGAAATACAGCGTAAGCACACAGCAGGCGGCTGGGAGTGTAAGCATACAGTAGGACGACAACAAGTAGCTGAAGAGTGAAGGATGCAGAGATATATAGGCAGACACTGATGGTGGGCTGGTGCTGAAAAGTGAAGAACACAGTCAGCATAGAGATGGGTAGTGAACTGAATCTGGGACGTGATGAGGGAATCGATGCAAGCAGAGGGGTGGGTGGCTGGGGCAAGGAACTAACATCAAGCCGTAGATCTGCATGTGACTTGGGCTCACAGCCGTGTGCATCTATAGATAAGGAGGAACCTAGTTTTGTGGTTGTCAGGGTAGCTACTGAGGTGGGTGACTGAGGAGATGTTTTGTGATGATGGCAGGGAGGGATCAAGGTTAAAACAAAAGTTTCTGGCATTCTGGCAAGATGATCAAGGTGTTCAGGTGAGGACAGAAGGAGGTCATCACACTTCTGCATAGTGATATCAGGTATCTTATTAAAAAAATGTGTCATTTGAGGGTAAAGAAAGGAAATTTTGGGTTCTGGCTGACAAGTAATAGGAACAGTGAATAGTGTCTTAGTCCTTGGTAATGAGTTTAGAAGAAAGAGCAAAGGACCAAGGACTGATTCTTAAGGAACAGAAGGATGGGACGAATGACTTGGTCCTGCCCCAAAAATCTTGCAATGAGCTGTTGTCAGACAGGTGCCATTCCAAATTTCAAAAACAGATGTTTCAGAGCACGTCGAAGTGGGTTGAAGAAAAGTGGGTTTGAGAAAGACATGGAGAATGATTCCTAGGATAGATTTTGATGCGAGTAGCTGACTTGAAGATGTCTGTTGGAGGTTTAAAATTGCTTCTCAGCATTTCTGGAAGTCACGCTCCCGCTTTTTAAATTTCATGAAAACGATGAATCATCGAATAAAAAAAGACGACAAAAAAAAAAACAAGACAAGAGCAAGTACCGCCTGAGAGGAAAACCGAGTTAAAGTTGAGAGCCAGGAAAGTAGGTGCTGTGGCTGGGCTGAGGGACGGTACAATGAAATGCTGCTTGTTTAATCCTTTATTTTATCTCAGCATTTCTAGAATTGTGTGTGTCTCTTTATCAGATTTCCTTTATCTAAGAGTTGCGTTTGGGTGTCTTAATTAAAAAGACTTTATCCCCTAGTAAGTGCAAAATTAAGATGGGCACAAAATACCTTGTCTATTTTTCATACCAAGACAACAGGCAGTTTTTTGGTAATAAAGCCAAGTGAAAACATGACAGCTGAATGCCTTGATGTCCTCATTGAAGCAGATTCTTGGTCACATCTAAGTATAATGTGTAAGTTCAATTCAATTCAGGTTGATCTTTTGATAGTTAACATAAGTAGGCTTAAAACAATTGTAATTTACAGTGTTAGATATACCTAAAATAATACATACAGAGTGTCTATTTGCACCTGGGTGTGAATGGCATCTGCCCATTTTTCAGCTATTAACACCCGGGCTATTCGCTCCCCACCCTCTGACTCTACAGAAAACTCAAACAGGGTGTTGTAGGCATGACTGAAGGTGCCAAAGCAGGATACAAATATCAAAGGCATAATAATAATAATAATAATAATAATAATAATAACGAAGAAGAAAAAGAATGATAATATAGCATTGTTGGCTACTCCTGGGTGCCAATAGCATCTGCATAATTCATAATGCAGCTCATCAGCTATGTATACATGTGTCCTATCTGTGCTGCCCACAATCCCTGGCTGCAGCGCGGAATGCATCTGACGCCCGGCGACTTGTGGACATTGATGCTGACCTGGCAGCCCTGCTGTACAGCCGGATGAAAGCGGCTCCCCGACGGCCTGAGACGGAAGGAGAAGCGGAGGCGGCCCGGCGGCGCAAGCTGGCGCGCATGGAGGCCGTGCGGCAATACGAGGAGCAGGGCCACATGCCGCCCAGGCCCCGCCTCACGGTCAGCCTTCCCAGGGCCCTTTCCGAGACCCTCTTGTTCCTTATCCAAGGTCTAGGGAGAAGGCTTGGTATTACGGTGCGGGTGCCCTCTGTGTGCATTGGACAGCTGCCATCTCAGCTGCCATGACTGCAGACTGGGCTGGGTGTCATTTCAATATTAGTCTATCTCCTGCAGGTCTCTCAGTAGAAGCTCCTTTTCCAATACTCTGAATAGCCCTGAAAAAAGCTGACTTTCCAGTAAAACTAAAACAAGGATGGATAATTACCTTCCCTTCACTGTGCTACTGTCACTGTACTTTATCAGCCAAATGCAACAGCCACTGAGATAATGAGTTTAATATAATAATTACAGACCTTTTTTAGATATTACCGGTCACAGGGAGCGACACAGGAGAGCTTGTGCAGAAGTGCAGCGACCTGTGGCTACAGGCAGGTTTATAATGAAGGGCTTAATCAGCTGCCAGTTGCGATTTAAAGTAAATCACTCCGCTTCTGCCCAGAATCAGTGTTTTTTCTGATCGAGAGTGTAATTTTGTCTCCGGACTGAAGTGGGCAGCTGTTTGGTTTTCCATCCAGGAACCGATAAATACCATGTCACCCTTTCGGCCCTCAGAGCCGGCGAGAGGAACACTTGGAGCAGTTCCGGGACTTGGGCGTGATCGAGGCCTACCGTGAGCGCCACAAGGCCGAGAGCATCACTGTCATGCTGAGTCAGGCCATCACGGTCAGGCACACCGTGTACGCTGCCCTGGGGACCGCAGAATTCTTCGAGTTCGTGCTGCGGAACCCTTTCAACATGCCGCGGACCATCACTATAGAGTGTGAGGATCCAGAGCTGAGGTGAGATTGAGTGTTTCGGATCGGTCACCAGGGAGAGCAGAACCCCTAACTTACTGCCTTCTGCTAACCAAAGTCATCTCCACACTTGTGATTTAATTCTAATAACTGAATCCAGAAAATAACAACAACTAAATATATACAGTCGTCCCTCGTTATCCAAGGGGAATTGGCTGCAGGACCCTACGCAGATATCAAAACCTGCATTCCCCCGTATGAAATGCCCATGTAACCCATGCACATCCATTCATAATAATCAATCAATGTAAATGCTTTGTAAAAAGTGGTTATACCCTATACTGACTACATAGTACATGTCAGCAACAACGTAACATTTTCTTTCATTCACTTACAGTCTGCTTTCATTAAATGATCTGAAAGAGAAATACACAGCATAAAACACAGAATATTTAAAATATAAACACTTACAGAAAATATAGTTATAAATGACTTCATTTGCATGGATTCAGTGTAATGCTCAGTGTGCTGCAAATTCCAGTTTTGGTTTTTGGAACTAATGTTTTCTAACTTAAGTTGATTGAATCCGTGGATATGGAACAAGCGATACGAAGGGCTGACTGTAATTTTGCTAAATAGTCCATGGATTTCACTGTTAAAGACTGAAATTTCTTGTATATTAATATTGCTGACTTCTCACACAAGGCACTGTGTCACGCTCCCTTATTAAGATCCTAAGGCTCACATTAAGTGGAGGGTGTCTGTCTTTTATACTCCGACGACGGTATCTCAACTCAGCCTCTGTAGCAATAAATAAACATGCAAACAAAAAATAACACTATAACCGTCATCGCAGAAACTCTGTCCTGGAATCCTTAGAGCTACTCTTCTCCCTGGAGTCTTTTTGTGGACGTCCTGTCCGGGAACGGGCAGAACTCAAGGAAGGGATTTTATTTTGGGAGAGAAGTGGAGGAGACATGAATGAAAATATGACTGCCATTTCCATTTAAGCGGAGGATTTCAAGTGAAACGCGAACAAAGGAAAAGGACATGCGGTTACCGGGGAGGGTATGACTGCAGACTGGGCTGGGTGTCAGGGTCTGGGTTTGGGGAAGGGAGGGAAAGATAAAAGTCTGGAAATCCTTACAGTCGCCTCAGAAAAGAAAGTAGTGACAATATAATAATGCTCAAAACATGATAATTAGTATTTGTTGTCATCACACACATAACAGTAGTTAAACCATTACGAAAGTATGCAATTATTTTAGGAGATTAGCAAAGAAAAATCATTGCAAACATTTGTCTTTTTTTTTTTTTGCAAAAAAAAAAAAACATGAATCTTTCGAGTTAACTTCAATAAAAACTGATAAAAAATTTTCTTCTGATGGAGTAGAAAGCCATGCCAGTCTTTTTAATAGAAAGAATGTGATTAAATTAATTAAAACATATTCAAACATGTCTTTGCTAGACTCCATTCATCCATTTTTTGATGTCTGCTTATCCAGCGCGTGTTGCTGTCGGCCCGGAGCTTATCCCATGAAACACAGGGCATGCGCAAACAGTCGCAGTAAATTAGCTAGACAGCCTGTACTTTTCCTAAATACACGATGATTATCATGTTTAACAAGTACTGAGCTAATTTGACATGAGCTGAATTATGTAGCTTGCGGGTAACTTTATTCAGCCTCTTGGAATAGATGCATTTTTAGGACCCATCCTTTTTCAGGAAGCACAGGGACACTCTGGTTGGGGCGCCGGTCCATAACAGGCCAATTCAGATCTCATCTCAGCCTGCATTCCACCTAATAACACAAGGCAAACATGCAGATTCCACACACACAGGGAAAATTTTAATCACCGCTTGTGAGCTACAGAACGAAACACTGAGCCTCTGTGCCACCCTTTTGAGGAATTTAGAGGAGAGTTTCACAAGTCCTTTCCACTATAAGTCTATCCCAAGCAGCACAGGACAAAAGGCTGGGCTACATCCGGGATGGGATGTCAGTAAATGAAGAAATGATCCTTTCTGATTTGGCAGGAAATTGATTTGACCAGCTGTCCCTCTTTGCTGATGTTCCTACGTTGCATTTGGCTTTTGTTTTAACAGTAACTGCTCTGACCCAGAGCTAGGCTAAAGGTAGAATCTGTAGCACAATTGTAATGGTAAGAAGAGTTATACAAAATAAAAAAAAGTTTTTTCGGGACTAAGTTTAAGTGTGAAACAGTGTCCAGTGGTGCCAAGTGAAGCTCCATTTATGGATCAGTCTGTGGAGACTCTGCTGTTCCGCTTCCTCTCTGCTCCCAGGCACCTGCCAGTGCCTGAAGTCTGTGTGCTGCCCGTAGCTGGTCCTGCTGAGGCTTATTTAACTTGCTTGCACTCCATTCATCTTGCATAATCACGTATTTAATGCTTGGTAAAATCTATGGGAAATTCGACCTTGGGACTGTTCATACTTGTTTTGTGAGCTTTGTTGTGAAAGTGCTATGGTAGACCGTGGTAAAATTAAGGGTAATAAAGCTGCGGGAGAGATGAAACATCCAGCTCTGGAAAGCGGTGTCTGCGGCTAATGAATGAGACGTGTGCGATGGGGAGCCCATTTTGTTCCATCCTCCACAGCAGAACAATGCTAAATCATTTTAGCGTGGCTTTTCTCTTGGTGACATGCTCACACAGCCGTGCTGTGACTTGTAGTGCCTGGATTAACCGCACACACCCTATTCACACCGTAACTTTTCTGATAGCTGTACTGGCCCATGCAGCATTTTAAAAATTTGGGCTACGTTTTGGCAGATACATTGGACCAGTGTGTTGCAGTGTGGTTTCACACCTCCTGGGTTTGATGGTAATTCCCACCCCCTGGTTTTGTGTGATCTCAGGTGTTGTATTTTCTTCCTGTTTGCATGTATGGATGGATGGAGAGATATTCCTTGTTTGTTTATTTGTTTTGCATTTTGCCCAATGCAATCTTTGAGTTTTTGCTCCATTGCAAGATTTCATTTTGGCTCCATGAGCAAGAAAACCACCTGCTTCAAACAGAAAATCTAAGATAACTACAGTGTTCCTGTTCAGTTTCACACTCAGCTATAACACCCATGAAATTCGCCTGTCCGATTATCTTCACATCCGCATATTTCTTTAGGAAGACAAACCATGAGAGCCGGGACCTTGAGTTTTCATTGATGGTTTTAACTTACTGATGTTGAGATTATTAGAAATTAAAGCGTTTTGCGAAATCAGTTTGTTGGTCAGTTCTGCGGTCCCCCCAAAATGAAACTCTCAGAGGTGTCAGAGCTGTGACCCACTCTCAGTACAGTAGTGATACTGTTACTAGCTGTACTTACATTTTAGCCGTGGTTTTTCATAGGTAAAGTCCTTCCTGTGTGATTTTATCTTGCTATTTCACTGGCAGAGCCTCGTATTTTGAAATGTTTCTTGTTACTCCTTAATGCAGAGACAGGAGTTTAGTCTTTTTTCTAGCTTCATATCCACTCATGAGTATGATTTCCTTCAGTCCTACCCTTGCCAGCTCAGCAGAATGACGCAGAGTGAATGATGTGCAACTGACACTTATAGCCAAAACATTACAATTCTCAGACTAGCATTTATAGAGCTGGATGTGCTTACTGAACTGGTTCAGGTTAGCTGAGTTCCTTGCTCCAGTACAGATCTGCAGGGGTCCTCCTGAGACCTGAACAGTGTGTTTGCCTCTGTCCAGGTGAAGGTTCTACCAGCTGCTATTACACATTTTTGTGGGAAGTGCAGCTGAGGGTCAGTGCATCTTAGCTTGTAATTCCAGCATAATCAGTGGGGTTTTTACTGTGCTGGTATTATGTATGCATCTGTCCGTCCGTCTATCCTATACATACATACACATACATTAATTATACTTTATGCAGTATAACTTTTCTTTAGAGAGTTTTTTCACATGTATATTGTTTGGACCCAATATATCATTATTATACCTAATATATTCATTAAATATTATGAAAAAGCCAAACAAATGCCTTGTTTCTTGCAGTTGTCGCAAAGGCTGTCTCAAGTGGTAGAAGAGTGTTTATTAATGTTGTTTTCTCCTTAATGAAAAGAAAGTGTTGTTATTTTAGTTGCTAATTACTCAGAAGGGGTAAAAACAACCATCTCCTTAATTGATGCATAAATTATTTGTAGATTTATAATCACAGACTTCATATATATTGTGTTATTGACTGTAGTTTTAATGTCATATTAAAGCAGAAACAGAGGTGGGTTTGGATGTCCTCGCTGCCTAATGTTTGTTGGGTGAGGAACGGCAGCTTGATAGATTCCCGGCAGGTTTGGCGGATTTGAATACTTCATCTTGATGATCAGCGACTGGAGAGCTACGTGGATGAATAATTGTGGCATTAGCACAGGGGCTGGAGATAAAGACACGGAGTCTTCCCTTGCGAAGCCTCTGTGGGCTGAGCTGCAGATCTGAGGCTTGCCAACGCTCGACACGTCGTGTGCTCAGAGCCAAGCTGGCAGACGCGGCCTCTGAACATGAGCGTTCCCCATCAGAGCAAATATAATCCCCTGATTTCCATCCTCTGAAGAGCCAGCTAATGCACTAAATATGCACGTGGAGAGTAGAGATTCTTTTCAAATACTGCCATTATTTCTTTCATTCTCCATTGTATAAAAACATAAAGCTACGGCCTGTTGCACATTACAGATATGTTTTTATCATCCTCTGCTAACTTCGGAGATGAGCCGGATTAAGATGTTATTAGGTAATGACACGTTTTTGTGCTCTAATATTACCATGTGATTAGCATCCCCAAATGGAACATTTTCTTGCCCAATAAACTACCTGGAATTCAAAGAAATATATTTAATAAACAGTCAAAATGACCCTAGGAAATGTATATATCAATTAAGCATTATTCATATTACATAACTCCTGTAGATTTATTGACAATTATGTGTTAATAGATCTACAGAACTGGCACACTGGCCCAATACCTAGTGTACGTCCTCTGGGGGAATCAGTCATAGTCATAGAGAGACCTGTGTGCCCAATCCACGTGCGGCGGTGAGAAGTACAGGAGATAAGCCACAGCGGCACGGGCATTGCCATAAAATGACAGGCCAGCAAAGATTTAAACTTACATCAGGAAATTCACTTGAAGAAAATTTAAGAAGACTGAGAGAGACTTGGGGGCAATTTCCCTCCCACTTTATGATTTTTATCTCCCTAGTCTGAGCTTATTTATGGACTCGTTAGGAATATTGTCCACCGTGCTCTTTCCTCTCAATAGTCTCCCCTCAGCAGTTATTTGGGGGAAAAAAAGGTGGCCATTTTTCAGCCGTGGAAGGGCATCTTCAAAGCACGTCTTTTCTCATGCAGAGTATGAATTGTAATTTTAACACAGGTCTGACTCGGAACTTTTATTATTTGCAGGCATTTTGGAGAGAGAACATTTTCTACCCTTAATGTGTGTCTTTGTTGTATTTCTTTGTAATTTGCTGTACTTTTGTAGTCTCCAATGAGTTGCCATTCTAGAGTGAAAATGTGATCGCTCTCACTGCGTTTGCTCAGATACCAACATGCCCTGCCGGCTTTTTGAGCCTCAGCCAGCCTGACGTGATGCTCCGAGCAAGACAGAGTAACTTTAAATTGATCTCAAAGTGTTAAAGGATAAAGCTGGAATGTTGCAAAGCTGCTAAATGACTTGGAACTTCTGCCACCTCATAGCTCTTCACAGGCAGCAGATGCTGCGTCATCTTTCTAGCAAATGAACTTGAGCTTTGGGCTTTTGTTACTTGGACCTCATTCAGTGATGAAATGTCCCCACACCGGCTCTCAGATTGTTCCGTTTCAACTGGAAGCTTTACAGTTTCCTATAATCAATAAGATACATATTCACTTATTCACTCTACTGTTAAATTGAGTTTCTGCAAGTTGTGCAACAATTCCTTATGTAAAGTGACACAACAGAACACAGTCTTTCAGCAGGTAAGAAGGGCTCATGTAGTGTAGATATTACAATTTTCAAGACAAAAAATCCTATTGCCTTCTAAGGAAGATGCATTTAATTGTAGTGTATGTTGCTACCTTTGACATGGTATCGCCAAATGCCAAATCTTATGAACATGGTATAAATTCTAAACATTACATAACCAAATAGTAACTTTCAATGAACTTTATAAAAATGCTGAAAGGGGAATTTATGGGGTTATGCAATCAATTAGATCATCAATGATGAAAAATAGATGATATACGTAATCAGTACAATTAATCACCATGTATCCATTCATTTTCAAACCACTACACAGGGACCATTCATCCATAATCGAAAATTTAGTGAATGAAGTAAAATGTAACCATATAAAGATATTCAATTCAGTTCAATTTATTTTTATATAGCGCCTTCCACAACAGTGTCGCCCCAGACGGTTTACATGAGTGTGTTGTGGCACGACATCATTAGGGCAGAATAATACAAAAATCAGGAAAAGGAAAGACAAAGAAATGAAAGAGAGCCAGATGACAACAGAGGAGAGGAACCAAAAACTCCCAAGTAGGGAGAAAAAAATCCTCCCGGGGTCTGAGGTCAACTGGCTGCCCAACCACCCCCACCCCCCCCCCCAGGCATGCTAACATTATAGAAAAAGAGAGAGTGGGCTTGCCTGCTAAAAGCAAGGTGTAAACTGTGGCCAAGGTCAAACCCACCCCCCCCCCCCGGGCACCTTACGGACATTTGGGAAGGAAGGCAGAGAGCATGGCAGGTCAGAACATGCACAGACACATTAATGGACAAGCATAGTAGATAAAAATGGCATGTACAGCAGCAGCAGCTATAGATATGGAGTGTTAGGTGTAAAGCTGTGGGTGAAGCTAAGGTCCCATAGATATTATGGAATGGGGGTGTTGGGGAAGGAGGTGGAGGTTGTAGACGGGCAGGAAGTGCATTGAGGTACCTGATGAAAAATGAGGCTCAGTAGGAAACTCGAATAAAGGAAAGTTCAGAAGCGGAGGGCTGAGACTTCCTGCGTAAAATTGTGTTTTTTGCAGCTTTTCTAACTTTATTCTTTTATTCAGCAGACCCCTTACACTACAAATTGTTTTTCTGCCGCTCTGCTTCTGCCGCATTATCACCGTGGTGAACACCGCAAGCGGCTTTCACTTAAGAGGCTGCTAGTCGGAAATCTTCATTTGACAGCTTTTAATGCGACTCCGCCATTATCTTCTCCCATTTGATCAAACTGAATCTCCTGGGCTGAGGCCAGGCTCTTTATTTTAGTCCAAGATTTCCCTTAGATAATTCAGAGCCTTTTAAGAACTCATGACGTGTGGTTGCAGAGAGTTCTCACACCGCACATCATTTAAGTATCATCTCTCACATATTTCTAATGCTCTACACCAGAGTTTCTCAATCTGCTCCTCAAGTACCCCCCAGACGGTCCATGTTTTTGCTCCCTCCCAGCTCCCTGCNGTCCATGTTTTTGCTCCCTCCCAGCTCCCTGCCAGACGGTCCATGTCTTTGCTCCCTTCCAGCTCCCTGCCAGACGGTCCATGTTTTTGCTCCCTTACAGCTCCTTGCCAGACGGTCCATGTTTTTGCTCCCTGCCAGCTCCCTGCCAGACAGTCCATGTTTTTGCTCCCTCCCAGCTCCTTGCCAGATGGGCGATGTTTTTGCTCCCTTCCAGCTCCATGCCAGACGGTCCATGTTTTTGCTCCCTCCTAGCTCGCTACTGCAAAAACCTGGACTGTCTGGGGGGTTCAGAAACACTGCTCTACACATGTGTCTCTTGCATGTCTTTCCAAAAGTCATTCATGCTTGTTTTTCCCTTCCCATTTGTAGGCTGAATAACATAGCATATGTAAGTAATGTGCCATAAATTCAGGAAAAACCTCTTGATCAACAGACTGCTAGAGAGAGCTTGTATTAAAAGGCAAAAATGCAGGTTTGTTCAGATTTCCCAGCAGTCTGTGCTGAACAACCTGGCTCAAAGCCTCTTGTAGTACTTGTATAGTTCACATGTAGTGTGTGAAAAGTGTGTGAAAATGGCTTCTAATAAAGTACAGTAAACAGCAGCCACTTTCTCCCAGGTGGTCTGTCCCATTCCCTCTCCCACTGGCACTGGGTGGGTGGTCTGTCCCATTCCCTCTCCCACTGGCACTGGGTGGTCTGTCCCATTGCCTCTCCCACTGGCACTGGGTGGTCTGTCCCATTCACTCTCCCACTGGCACTGGGTGGTCTGTTCCATTCCCTCTCCCACTGGCACTGGATGGGCTGTCCCATTCCCTCTCCCACTGGCACTGGGTGGGTGATCCCATTCCCTCTCCCACTGGCACTGGATGGGCTGTCCCATTCCCTCTCCCACTGGCACTGGGTGGGTGGTCCCATTCCCTCTCCCACTGGCACTGGGTGGGTGGTCCCATTCCCTCTCCCACTGGCACTGGATGGGCTATCCCATTCCCACTCCCACTGGCACTGGATGGTCTGTCCCATTCCCTCTCCCACTGGCACTGGGTGGGTGGTCCCATTCCCTCTCCCACTGGCACTGGGTGGGTGGTCCCATCCACACGCTTACTTCCTCTGGCCACTTTCTAACAGCAGGCCTGTTCCATCCAGGTCCCCTCTGGTTACCTTCTCTTAGCAGGGCTTTCTACAGTCAGGCTCCTTCCTAGCAGTCTTATGCCAGGAGGACCATCTCATCCAAATATGCCCCAGTCTCAGTAAAGATAGCAAGTGCACAACGCTGCTTGTTTATAAGTTGCTGTCATACATCCATGTAGTTGTCTTCAGTAAATTTGACACTGCATTTTGGGAAGATCACGCTCCCTCTGACATTCTAATCATTTCTAAAATGTTTCATCTTAGAAGAAGTCTAATAAAAATCCATATGAGATTCTTTTAAAACAAAGTCCAGAATTTGTGGAAAGAAATAGTTTCTAATTTGAGTTGTGTTTTGTAGTTGCTACTTTGAAGGTTGTAGTTCTTTTGGATAGTTTGCTGTCTTTTCACAGGTGTTTGTATGCACTGACTCTCTTTGATGTGTCCTACTAATAAAAGAACAGGCCAGGCAGTTCTTAAAAATCGCATGACCTGCTTTGTTCTTCTCCTTCCCAAAGCGTAATCACCAGCAGCAGGGAATGGGGGCATTTTAAGGGACTGACCAGAAGCACAACCCCTCTGGAAGAGGGCATGTTTCACCTGAAGGGGGGCACACGGGCTCCCCAGGTCTACCTCCGACCGAAAGAGACGCTCTACATCCCTCTGAAGTATCAGACCTTTGCCTTGGATTATGTCTCACAGGTAAACACTGAGAGAGATGCTGTTTGTGTTTTAGGTGCACAGTAAGTGCGGTCCACCCACGCTGGAGAGGAAAATGGTCTCTCATGGTGGTGTGACGTTCCTGCAACATCATTTGTTATACTGGGGAAATCATAATTTTATCTACTAACAGTTGTAGCATTACAGTAGTTTTCCAAAACTTTCTTGCAACACATACAAAAGTTGTGATGCTGAAATACTGGACATGATACCTGTTAGTCTAATTGTTGCATTTTACCTACTGCCATTGTCCAGCCCGAATTATTGGGAGATGTTACTGGAGATAGAAATGTGTATATAAAATAAATTCTGTGCTTAATGTTTGCATGTTTGTATGTACTTTATCATATAACTACGGCACATACGTAATATATTGTTTGCTACCTAGAACAGAAAACAAAATGCTGCAAATTTAGTTCTAATAGCAATAATAGGTTGCAAGGATGTCAACAACTTTCAGATGATGACTGTTCCTGTATTTCAAAAACCCAGATCATTCATTCTTAGGATTTCCTGTAAATAATTTAACCATAATTAATCATTTTTTATACCCTGTATGTCTTCTGTATGTTCAGACTTGAGCACTAGATCCACTGTTGAACGTGTCATACTTTCTTTTGCAGGAAGCAATGGACGTGTTTACTAGCACCAGTGTCCGTTTAGTTGAGAAGCATCAGCTGAACAGTGCCCAGGCCAAGATTATAAAAGTAAGATGAACTATGACCTTGGCTGCTGTGTTCCAGGTCTTCAAGGCCCAGTAGGTTGTTTGTGCATCGCCGTGTTTTGGCAGGAATGTGTATGCTGACTATATGTGCCGGAGGGCAGGGCTGCTTCATAACCTTGTGATGCGTGCTGTAGCGGGGGCAGGTCAGTCGGCTGACGTGGACCGGAACAGCCCTCTGTGAACCCGCTTGTCTCTCTTGGCTCCAGGTCGTATTTAGGGCAGAGGACGGGAAGCCCCTGGCCATTTGCGAGGTGAGCGTGGAGCGCATCCCCCATGTGATCGATCAGACATTCCGCTTCTACCACCCTGAGCTCACCGTGCTGAAGAAGGCGATCAGGCTCCCGCCGTGGGACAGCGTGCCAGGTGCTCCACACTGTCGCTATCCGTCCTGCCTTTCCTCTCTCCGAACGTGGTGTCGTTATCTGCCTGTCGGCGTGCTTTTCCAGGGGTTCTGGGTGGAAGTGAGCACAGGATGAGGCATATCCATGTACGTTGCAGTGACCCCAACGTCATCTGCGACACCAAAAGCATGGTGAGTAAAGTGGAGCTGAGAAGGGGGGGGGGCAGAGCTAGAACCTCCCACTAGACTCGCTCACATGCAAAAGATTAGGGGGGCCACACAGGTCAGCAGTGCTCAAAACAATAAGTCGCAAAGATTTAACCAATTCACAAAATCAGCACAATTATTTGCTGCATTCAGGATTCAAGGTGTAGGACTTCATTTGTTATATGCAGAGTAAACAGTCAGTTCCACTATGCGATGAAAATGCTACTCTGCATGCCCTTAGAGTAAATAAATTAAGCACAGAACACAAATGAAGTGCAATGTAAACATAATGCAAATATTACAAGAGGAGATGAGGAAATGGGTTACATAGCTGGCCTGTCCTGTGTGCCAGGTTTAGGGTGCACAGAAAAAAAGAAAGCGGCACCTCATTGGTTGGAGGTAGATTGTGTCAACAGAATCGGGGATGGTGGGGGCAGATGTTGGACGAGAGCCAATCACAAGCCTGTTAGCCTGCAGGTAGAAACTGATTCATTCAGTCTTGTGGTTCATTATTTGACAATGTAGCGTCTTCTTGATGGTTTTCATTTGAAATCCGGTTTCATTAGCTCTCATAGTGGTTTTATTAATTTTTATTACTTGCTATTTTAAAGATGTATTTTTATTTAGTTTACTGTAACAGAAAAACTGTAACAGAAAGTGCTGTTTTGGGAACAAGAGTCTTTGTATCATTTAATTTCTGTTAACAAAAATGTCAAAACGCAATATTAGACCAGACGATAGGTTGTTTTAGCAAGGTTCCATAATTATGAAATTCTCTGCAATTCATAAAAGGGTAAATGGCCCTTCATAATGCACTATTTCAGAATAGGAGCATAACAAAACTTAAATGTGTCTGTCCTGTTGGGCGTAACACAGTCTCCAATGGAGCCCCAAGATGTGTACCTCAAAGTTTCGGGCGCCCAGAGCCCGCGGATAAAGAGGTTCTTCATCGCCGTGTTCCTGTAAGTATCACGACACGTAAACCTTCTTGCCTGTGATTTGTCTGATTTACCTGATCGTGCTGTGCAGATTGATGTCTGATTTAATCAAGCTGTGCTCGACGTGTTTATTGAAGCACAGGTAGAGCACGCTGGGTTAGCAGTTTTAAACCCTGAGAGCTGTATAACACCCTTAGCATGTTTGTTTTACTGCTTATGCTTAATTGCACTGGCTGCTAATGTGTTGTATAATCCGAGGATATGATGCTATTGTTTACTGGGGTTTCATTCACTTTGCTGTATGACAAATCCCCTTAGTAGTACAATCAATACAAAATACTAGAAAACAATTATTCACAGCAAGTAAATGCAAAATGTTTTTTGTTTTTCTTTTCCCGCCTCAGTGAGTTTACATGATTTGCAGTCATTAGCAGACCGTCGTGGGACGGTTCTAGCTGAGTTCTCGCTTGGTTCTGGCTTCCACAGGGACGAGTGGCTGGCGGCGCCCGCCCAGGTCTGGCAGGTCTACGTTCACTTCCTGCAGCGCGTGGACATCAGCTGCGTCAGCGGCCAGCTTACCTGGCAGTCTCTGGTTCTCCGGGGAACGCGTGCCCTGCGGAAGGTCAGGTGCTACGCCTCACACCCTGGGGAGATCCAGGTAGGTTCACAGCATCGGGACACAATTTTTCTGTCTCTGTTAGCTTTGAAGATATTCTGGTCCAATTTGCATGCACTGTAATTCATGATTCTAGGTCCTTTCCTAGATTCAGCCCAGTAGCCACCTGGTCACTTCTTATCTGCTATTTCTTATTTTAATATCCACTTTGGTTCTTAGCTAAGGTCCACCTCATGCCCCCGTCGCCTGCCGTCCCTGAATAGGTAGATCCGGTGGAGGTGTTCGCCCTCCCGGCGGCCGCTGTGCAAGACCTGCGTGTTGGGGTGCGTGCATGGAGGCCCGGGGGCAGGTTCGCGTACCTCAACGTGGTAGATGTGGAACACCGCCAGCTGCTGTCAGCCTGGCTACTCTGCTTGTCCTGTCGACAGCCTCTCATCTCCAAGGTGATGAATGAGCCTTTTTACCTTTCAGATTGCTGCTAAAATGTTAATCTATCTTCAAGGGCAAAGGTTTGGTGTCAACAGTGGTCGGGACCAAATCAGATCCCTACCACTTGGCCCCTAAAACACACACACACACACACACACACACACACACACACACACACAGACAGACAGACAGACAGTCGTGTAATCATATTTTTTTGGGGACCGCTCATTCATTTCTATGGGAAAAATGCTAATGCTAACTATGACAACCTTAATCCCTACCCAACCCTAATGAAAACCAAGCGAAATACAAGAGTTTTTCCATCTTTAGCTTTTTCATTGCTGTCAATATTTTTATTAATATATTTTTATAAAATAGAGTTTTCCCATATGGGGAAATTGGTCCCCATAAGGTAAAAAAAAATGGGTATTCATCACGTTGTGGGGACATTTGGTCCCCACAAGGTAAGGTATGCCTGGACCACACATACATAGAAGCATAACCATAAGTAACCAAACAAAATACGAGACTTTTGGCATTTTCAGTTGTATATATCAGTTTTCACAGATCTTTGTGGGAGCCTGAAAAATGGTCCCCACAAGGTCAAAATAACAGGTTTTTCCTCACATTGTGGTCCCCACAGTGTAATATATACATGACCACACACACACTTCAAAATGGCTATTCATTAAATACTGAACTATTTTAATTGAGCATGACATTGGAATGTCAAAATGACTGGAAAACAGATCTGGCAAAAAATTGTGCACTCAAAAAATAGGTTTTCGAAGTATATTACCAAAATGGACAATAACAAAAATATCAAAATCAAAGTACAAGAATTGAAGAAAATAGGCTAAAGATGATAAATTATTTGGGAAAAGAACAACTATGAGCTTTTACAGAACATCACAACACTTCAGCTATATAATTTATTGCTAGCGAAATGACTGTTGAATGTAAAAGTACATGAGGCTTTGTTTGTCGCCGTGTGCTTAGCACTGTGCCCTCGCCGAAGATAAGCTGTGGTATGTGCAAAAATTGTACCAAACCTAATCATCAGAAGTCCCCACAGTGTGCTGTTATAGTCACAGATGGAATGATATTGATGTCCTGCTTTTGTCTCCAGTGGCTGCATGCACCTAGTCGCTACCAGTCGTCTCAAACTACGTGCAAATTAGAGTCCTATACGGCCTGAAAATAAAGCCCGGCTCGTACCCGAGACCTTGAGACCGAACCCCATCTAGTGCGAAGACTACTAGCAAATATGAAACCTGAACCCAACACGTACCCGTATTGGAAATATTAGTCATTTGCTAGCTTTTACAGTGTTGCAGTGTTGCAGTGCTTGCCTGGTAGCTGATAGATGAGAGAGGAAGGTGGGGGGGGATTAGGGGTGGTATGAAAAGTGCAAACGAGCAAAGGGCCCAGCCAGTGCAAAAAGCGATTTGTGCACTAATATATAGATATATTTTATGCATGAAAAACTAACCTGAACCTAACCCAAGCAAGAAAAGACCCAATACCTTCTCCGGGCTGTCGGACTCGGGTCAGGTCACGTGCCTCTAGCGCGAACCTGCTCGTTAGGGTAGATCTTCCCTTATTTGCTCTGTTAACTTTATAGAGATCAACTATGACCTGGTGAGACAGACAAGGAAGGAAATGACACGGTATTGGGAGGTGCTGATTATTTCTCATAACAAATGAAAGCTGAAGGAAACCTTTTGACTGTGTCTACTATGAGGATCTTAAAGTGAAAAAATGCTAAAAATATTGGTATGGATAATTCGGTACTCCCATGGTGTTGGCAGGGACATGTCTCTACCATCTAAATACAAACATATACACAAGCTTCAGAGATTTTTTTAATACATTAATACATTATTAGCTAACTGAACAATATATAATGTCCATATTTGGAAAGCATAATATTGCCTCTGTGGTAAGTTAGTATATTAAAAGAACAATTAGTGTGACCTAAATTACAAACTGGAAATTATTTGGAATAGGTAATTAAAAATATGTATTCTTTAACAGTATATTCTAGACATTTTGAATTTCAGTATATATTGTATAACCATAATATATTCTGGAGGGAGGTAATTGCTTTTTTCATTGTACTACACTGGATAATAAACAAAAGATTAAAGTTACAGAGCGAGGTGTATTCATAGTGAACTAAATCATTCACGCTTGTTTGATATCTGCAGTGTTCTCTGATATAGCAGAGGATCTTTGGGGCTTGCAGCTTTGTGTCCATTATCTCTCCCCCCTGCTGCCCGTTGCAGGCCTTCGAGATCTTCCTTCCGGTGGGTGGCGGAAAGGGCAGCAGCAAAAAGATCACCTACACTAACCCCTACCAAAACAAGAGGGCCTTCCTGCTGCGCACCACCCACCCTGACCTTCTGCATTTCAAAGAGGACTCAGTCGAGGTGGGCAGCTCCAGCTCCACCCCCCTTCACCTTCAACGTCATGTATGTGCACGTGGATACAGTAAGAGGCAGCAACTCGAAGCGGGATGGGCAACTCGAAGCGGGATGGGCAACTCGAAGCGGGATGGGCAACTGGAAGAGGG